GCTCAAATTAGTTAGGTTTTATATATTATAATCTTGTAATAATTTATATATGCCCACCTATACTAAAGGAGATCCAAGAATTCTACCATCAGATCTGTAACGAGTGGGTGGAACATCGACAGATCTAGTTATTTCTTTGGTGGCAGATTTGGTTGTTTCTTTGGATTTATTAAGAAGGTTAAAGCCTAATTCAAACAAATATTGTTCGTATGCTGCAAATAATTCATTTTCTAATTCGTGATCCTTTATCTTTTTGGATACTCATGCTAAAGCGGGTTGATATGCTGATTGCCACTCTGTTTCATAATTATCTAACATGATTTTTATGTATGTTATCTCTGCTAGAACCTTTCGAATTTTTGACCTGACCTTGCTCGTATTTTACGTTCGTAGATTTTTTATTCAGAATAAGATGGATTATTGACTTAGTAAATAAAATATTACTGAAGCATATTTAGTGCAACTTATACTCTTCTACGCTGACCATAGACTATAATACTCATATATACAGCTTAAATTGTAAAGTACCCTGGGTATTTTGGACCACGCTGTACAGCTTAAATTGTAAAGTACCCTGGATATTTTAGACTATGCTGTACAATACCTTACAAGCTCATAAATAAAATTCAGACTTTTTATATTCGAATATTGTTGTGGCAGAGGCCTATAATAGAGTTTTTCTGATCCTGTACTGAATCGGAAGGCGAACACAAATCTGTGAACGTCAAAGATTAGACAAACGTTGAAAAACTATAAAAGCTCATAAATTAAATCCAGACCTTTTATATTTGAATATTGTTGTGGCGGGGACCTATAATAGAGTTTTCCCGGTCCTGTATTGAATCAGAAGGCGAACACGACCTAAATCTACATACGTTGATTAAACAAGCATACTGTAAAACCCTTACAAGCTTATGTACTAAATCTAGACCTTTTAGATTCTAGAAAACAAATAAACTTGTCTAGGCGAAGTTTTTCGGGAGTTGAAATTTGATTGCACATTGAACGTTAATACTTCGTTGAATGTTAATCCTTCGTTGAAATGTTTTTTTTTTTAAGTATTGGTATCGGTATATATTGTAAATTAGTTACCTGGGCAATTTATTTGTGCTAGCCAATCTGTACAAATCCGTATGACTATTGTTTGGTAAACAATTATATAAAATTGACATCGATCTTCAATCAATGTGCTTAGGTAATCGAGTGTATGAGTGTACAAGTGTACGCCAAAAAAAAAAAAAATATTTTCATTTTCAACCATTTCGAAAACAGCGATAATTCTATGAATTTATAGAATTGGAATAAAAAAATTTCATCAATTTTGGATATGTAGTTATTGAGATATCATTGCTCAAAGCTTTGTTTTGATAATTATCTAAATTTTTTTAAACTTTGTACAAAAATATTTTGATAATTACCTAACCAACATTGATAGAATTTTTTTTATTTTAATTCTATGAATTCATAGTGTGAAAATAAAAAATTTTTATCAATTTTAAATGAGCATGATGGACAATCCTGGTGGTACAAACTTCTAAACTTGAAATTTATGACTTAGAACTGATTTGCCCAATAAAAGTATGAGGTTGATCGATTACATGAAATTAGATGATTGGTCATATTAGTACACATGATAATTAACCAATCAATTTTTATAATATTGTAATAATGTCTGAAAAATCTTTATTTACTAAATCAAAGATATCTCATGATTTAGTAGTCAGAATTTGATGAATCTTATACCATTTAATTCATCTTAATGAGATGAATTGAATGGTATAAGATTTAACAAATTCTATCCACTGAAACATGAGATATTAATTATATCATAATCTCTTATTGGCTTATATATTTTTTAATAAAATTTTATTTTTAAATGTGTATATATTGCTTCTACATAATTTATTTAATAAATATATTCGCTAGATTATTTTTAAATCATTCCTATTTGTATTTTAAATTGTGTAGTTAAAATATTTAAAATTTAACTTACAAAATAATAACACATTCAT